GGAAGCTGTTGAATGAGATTCCTAAAAAAAACTCCGACTAGCTGAAGGACGAAGGGTTAAGAGTGCTGGCTCTGTAAGAATTCCTAAAAATGTGACTGAACGATTTACTTGTTTTCTAAATTTCAGTTCCTTCATTTCAATCAATCAATCCGTTTCATGTGTGTTTCCTCTATCAATGATTCTAACACAAAAGGCAGCTTTCAACAAAACAGAAATTCCTTATCAATGATGAAGCTTGAGCAATGAATTTCCTTGAAAAAATGAGAATTTCCAACAAGAACAGCTCAGCAAAGTTAACGACCGACCAATCGGCCAATTGACAATAAGTAAAATACCGTTTCAATAAGCGGCCGCCGACTTCCAGGCGCTTCACTACTCTTGAGTGGGAGCGTTTCGTTTCCGAATGAATTTCTGGGTGATTTATTCAAAGTTCGATTATTTGGGCACTCAAATGCGCTTGTAGTTGCGTTGAATGTGAAATGATCACTTGTTACGGCAAGATCATTTGCCGTTTCCCAGGGAATGACAGTTCCAGACGGGTCAAGCAGTAGGCTTGCAGTCAGTGGCTGCTGCACACCTGTGGCAGTGTCATCAACTGCACAGAAGGGTTCACTTGATTGCGGTTGATACGGTGTGCATACGTTGAAATTGATACCATCTCCTCAAATTTGGATAGCAGTTCAATTGAAAATCTCAAAAAAGGATTAGAAGCAGGGTCGTAGTGAGCAAGTAATTGCAGAGCGATGTTGATAGTTTTCTGCCAGATTTTAAGATGCTATTATCGGTATGATTTGTTGAATAAACTGTTTTCTAATTAATTTGTCAGCATTTATTCAAAAAAAAATTGAACATGTGATATTTCTATACTCCAAAAGTTCCTGGATCCTGGGATCAAAAAAGATATTGGGATTGAATTCCGATCTCAAGATTGAAAATCGTTCGCATTTTGCAAACAATAACCAAACACTGATCACACTAAATATGTGATGTGATCTCATCACATATTCAGTGTGATCTCAAAATCTCAAAGCGACTGACAAACGAAACGATTGATCTGAAAAGCAAACGACTGATAAAAGAATGAGAAGTGAGTTGTCCAGCTACCTTTGGTAGGCATCGGATCACATGAGGGATATGCGCTGTCACTGAATGATGTGACAACAGTGTTAATAGTAGCTTGAGATTGTGTGCTCTGTGGAATCGAGTCCGTCATCGAGAGGGGGCTCTCTGACAATGGGACTGTTTTGACGGGCAGTTGAGAGTGAGACATACGGTGCGTTATCGATGGTAACGGTGAGGAACGTAGCAATGGATCCTGAGAAATCAAATTATTTCGTTGTTTCTCTGACAATATTTCATCAAATCTTATGAAAACTGGAACCATCTGCATACGACAATTCTATCGATTTTGGGGATAATTTGCAATTTGGGGATAATTTGCGATTCTATCAATTTTGGGCATAATTTCATTTACAACAATTTCGATTCTACCCAACTCTCGAATATTCGACGAACAGATGTTAGTTGAATGTAAGACGAGACATATTGCCAGTAGTCATCATTTGATCAAGTTTCAGCCAGTGATGAATCTGAATTTTCACTTACTCTGATCATTGCATTTATTCTGTCGATAATGTCATCAAATTTCGGACGATCAATATCAATAGTACTCCAGCATTCCAACATTAACGAATAAACTTGATCCGGCACACCATTCGGAGGCTCCAAACGTCCGCCGTTCACGATTAGTGACATAACCTGAAAATTTTTATTGAAATAAACAATTCAGTTTGACTATTGAGCCATTACTTCTAATCAATGATTCAAGGTTTACGGAAGATACGGAAGGTTTCACCTGATAGTTTCACTCAAACACGCTAAGTTGGAGTACAAATCGTACAAAACCTTATAATTGAACAACATGGAAACTAAAATTCCAAGAAATACTTTCAAATCATTCCAGATCAAAAGATTTGAACTCACTTCTTGATTATTTCGACCCGGATAAGGCATATAACCCAACGAGAAGATCTCCCATAAGAGAACACCAAATGACCAAACGTCAGTTTTCACCGTGAAGATACCGTCGAGGAATGCCTCAGGAGGCATCCACTTCACTGGAAGCATCGCTTTCCCACCCTTACGATAGTAGTCTTGCCTAGAAAGAATGATTACTCTATGGAGAAAGACTGTAAAGTAACCCATCCAAATGATACAATCCGTCTGAAGTATGTACAATGTCATTATTAATGATCCAAATCTCGGCGAACCAAAAATATCGTTCCCAAACTAGATTCAGTTATATAACTGGACTCTTTAAGAGTCGCACTCAATTGACCTATCAGATCAAATGTAAACGAACGAGCGAGCAAGCATTTCGTGTATTTGTAACAAATAGAATCGCTCCTTCATTTCATCACTCATCATATGCGGCAGTTGAGACAATATGAACAAGGTAATGAGGAATCTATTTATAATCTCTTCAAATGAATGGAAATTATTTCAAACACTACAGAAGAAGATTGAAAAAACGTGCAATTCATTTTCAAAGAATGAAAATGAATGAATCGACGGAGAAATGAACGAGAATGTTTGCAAAAGATTAGAAATTTTCGGAAATCTCAAGAGTTATTCGAATAACGCCATCGTTAAAAACGTAGAGTAAAAGCAACTTACCTATAAATATCTCTTGCCATTCCAAAATCAGCAATTTTCACTACGCGTCCCTTTTCCTTTTTCGTCAACAGACAGTTTCGGGCGGCGATATCACGATGAATGAAACGATTATCAGCCAGAAATTTGCAACCTTTCGCAACATCACGAGCCATTTCGAACAAATCCACCATTTCAATAGCATTCTCGTTGGTCTTAAACAATGGAGCATATGCAAAAGAATCTTTAGTGCTCATGATTTCTATAATATACGCCGTTTTCTAGGAATTCAAGTTAGGCGATATTGTATAACACGTAGGACACCCAATAAAACCAGTGGTAATAGTAATAACATTGAAATGTGTGGAAATAAAGTTCTCTTGCAGGTAAATCCAACTTTATTTAATTGCTCGATAAATTGTTTGAGATCTTTTAACGAAGCAGACAATTTGCTCAATCGAAATTGATGAATACACCAGTATAAGAGTAAATTCTTACATTACGGGGACGACATTCGCGTAGAAAACTTTTCAGATCGCCTCCAGCCAGCAGTTCCAAAACAATCAATCGAGGCATCACATCAAAACAAACTCCTTTGAACTCACAGATGTTTTCGTGTTGGAATTTACTGAAACTTACAAACCGTTCACCAAACCAACAACAATAATCTTGAAGACTTTGAGCAACACAGAAACACTCAGTCCAGAAAACTGTATGCAAGATGTCTGCCTTTCAACAATTCATGCATGCTTTGAATGCTTAAAAAAAGAATGTCATGGTCGAATCGTGATAATTTTCCTCTTCTTTACATCGGCAATTCCAAACAGTTAGTATAGGCAGCTCTATGAGCTGTGATTACCTCATGATGAGAGCTTCCATTTCGAAATCATTAATCGCCTGTTTCGTGGCACTTTTCGGTAGGGTCTTCACAGCGACTCGCTCCAAATGACCACTGCTGCTTAAGAGAGTTCCCTCGTAGACTTCGCCGAATGCGCCTTGTCCTAGTGGCCTGAATTAATAGCCTCAATTACATTCCATACAGTAGTCACAATTCCGATCAGAATGAATCAATAGCTGGATCAATCATGAATTTCTGCAAAGTTTTCTCGTCGTTGCATTCATTCGCTCATAACACAAAGTATATCTGGTCCTCAGTGCAACTAATTTAT